CGGACACCAGGCAGAAGACAAGAGCAAGATTTGATTGCAATCAATAAAATAATTACTTATAACTATCAAGAGATTAACATATCCATATTTCGAGAAGAGAACCCGCCCTCCAGGACCAGTTAGTGATTTGTTTGAAAACATCAATTTGGTGGCCGCTAAAATTTATGATATTATCCTTATTTTCTTGAAATATTGTTTTTTTTAAATAAGTTAAAATAATTTGAACTTTTATAACTGTAGCCAAAGATGTTTATTGTAGTATTTATATGTGTTATTGTGGCAAAGATATTTAGTTATTTCTAAAGTTATAAGCTAACAATTTTTACAGATGGAAACATTAGAGGAATTTGCTGTGATGGAGGATCTTTGCTATCTCGCAAATTTATATTATACTTTTCAGTTGTTTATTGTTGAGTGAACTCATATTTGTCACTGTGTTAAGTAACTCATTGCGCACTACCAGAATCGCTTAAAGGATGTCCGCGGATTTAGTTTTTTTTATTTCCCCTACCTTTCCGTCCATTTCTCCAGCTACATTATGACATTCTCTTACAAATCCCACGCCACGTTCATCCTGACATCCTCACCGTTTGTTCATTTCAAAGCGTTGTGAGGTATGAAGCTATTTTTCATACTTTATCGTCTAATCTTTTGATAGAGCGTGGCAGCTCAGGCTGGTCTGTGTCACGTGCAACCCCGAGGGTACGGCGAAGTCTCAAACCTCACACAAAAAGACAATGGGGCACAAAAAGGTTGTTTTATATGCATATGTGTCAGGCCGTTTAACTTCCACACCTGCACCATTGCAGTTATGGAATTAAATAAATAATGGAAAATCGCATATTCAAACAATTTGAATGGAGATCTATCAAATATGTGAAATATTCCACCCCTCTTCAGTGTTTGGGATAAAAGGAATATCTGTGTTATTTGAATGGAGAATTAATGTGCATATTTAACAATGTTACCGTTTACGGTGGCTTACACTAATTATATTAGGCTATATTTCGATCGGTATATTGAATAATTTATTCTAACATTGGCAGTAGAACGCAAAGTTTCAGCACTGCTGATAGCAAACGGAACGTTCAGAGTACATTTACTGTCGTCTCATATAATCACACTGTTATTTCATCTTTGTGTAATCCTCCTATGTCCTCGGTCGGCTGCCTTCAAGAGAATTAAGTAGGATTTGTGGTTCTCACGGCGGTAAGTACGAAGATGGCTGCCTTAAGGAAAGTTGCTTTCTGTGACCTTGCAGAAATTTACCGACGTTTCAGAGGTCCTTGCTGCCTCCATCACTATTTTAAAGGGGGGACATCGAGGTCGAGCTACAGCCGAACAACTTTAACAGGGAAAATGGACTTTGTTTGAGTCGGCCATGGAAGCCCGTCGTCCACTCTCTCAAAGAACATAGAAAGCGTCCCATAGAACATTGCCAGTCCCACCCGGGCCATTAAGCCACTGCACTGCTCTTCCCAAGGCACATGTGACCACGGCCATTCCTCATGTTTATTCTTCTTCTTCTTTCTCATCACGTCCACCCACCTCTTTTATGTCCGGTGATCCACCTGCCAGACTCCGAGGGGCCCTTATAAGGGTCGCTTTCTGGGATCTCTTTCTGGGATGTCCTTGTCCCTCCTGTTGCCCGAGCTGTGACAAGTCCACCGCTCCTATAGGGCCCGAGTACCTCACCCGATTCTGACTCCATTCCTCACTGATTAGGCCAAGGATCTTCCATCCGACCAAAATCCTTTGCCCAAAGGACAGGTTGCCTGACGGGATAACCTCTCTTCAGCAGCAACAGACCCTAGTTTGAACAGTCGAGGCTTCCGCCATTACACGTTAGGTGGGCTATAATCGTAAAGAAGGCGATCCGCGGTTCAAATAACAATACACGCAGTGATCTTTAGAAAAATAACTAACTCCCCTGGTAAAACTGTGCGGGATAAAATCAACAAATTTGCTGGAATGCAGAGATCTTTCCATGATGGTATTTCGATCGTAACAGCTTTAGATTAGTTGGCCCGTTCGCATGCATACAGTAAGAGTAATTGGTAAATCGCATGCTACATATCTCTACTACCGTTACGCCCTCATACGGCTTGTGTTAGAGGTAAATGAAGTCTCTTACCAATCGCAGATCAATCTTTTAACTCTGGACAAGAAGCTGATAAACCTCAGCACGCAACATCATAACGCATGTTAGCAGTTAGG